ATATATTTCTTACATTTCTTTTTTTTTCAAGTATATCGCACTCGGCCGTCTCATTGACTGCGAGTTTGCTCTCATTTTTTTTTATTTATGAAAAAATAAAATGTCATAAACTCAATTTATCATGCATTGTTACCTTATTTTGGCGTGGTTCAGGCAGACAAATAAAAACCATTATTGCATGTTGCTTTCTTCAATATATAATTAACTACTATTATTTTTTTTCCTAATACAAATATTATTCTGAAAAAAAGAAAAAAAAACTTAAATAATTACTTCACATCCAAGTAGCATTGTATTATATTCTACATCAACAAATACCATACTCGTTTTCTTTTATGATTACTAAACTTATATTTAATGACTATTCCACAATAAGAAATTGTCAACTAACAACCATATATCTGCATATGGCACATTTCTACATCAAAAATCTGTTAATTGTTAGTCAGTACTAACAGATTTATCATTTCATTCTGTTATTCTTCACATCGGATGTTAACCATTATAATTATATTTTTGTTTGTTTTTTCATGTAGAAAAAATTTAAACATGATTTAGAATAAATAATTATGTAGATTTATCATCTAGGTAACACTGTTTGAATATAATTATAGTGTAAAATGCAGAAGGATTCAAAATGTATTCAAAATACATTGATATAGAAAAATAGAACAATGATATGGCTATACAACTACAAGTTAAATCTTTCTTTTGACTTTTAATGTGTTTCTAAACAATTTACTCTGATGACGAAGAGATATATTTGATGAACAGTTTACTGGAAATTAATTTCAATGTAAACGAGAAAAAAATATTGAATTGTGTATTGAGATGTGTATGTGAATATTGGAGTTAGTTTTCATATAATGGTATAAGAAGGTGCTATGGTTAATTTTATATTTTGAAACGTTTATGTGTTATAGTTTATAATTGAGAGTTTTATTAAAAAATGGCGATATGAGATTGTGAATGATGTGCGTATATATATATAATTATGGAGTGATTTATATGTAAATAAGAGTGAGAATAATTATGAACATATCATATCTGATGAAAAATGAAAAGCATCATCTACAAAAGTATAGAAAAAGTCTCTTCGATCGACTTCTATCGAATTATTTTCTTGACTAATATCACTTTTCTCTTTCAAATCCATCGCCAATACATAGATTTGAAAGAAAAAAACTGATATTAGTTAAGAAAAAGATTCGATTGAAATCAAACAATGAGTGTAATTCTATAATTTTTCACACGACTGCATACATATAAATGTATTATCTGTATCTGTTTTATGTAATACCTCTATTCTTTTTTTTTTGTCGGCCTTAACAATAAAAATGCATTATACATATTTCATAAATGATCTATTGATTACACTTAATAAATTGACATCGAAATCACAAGACTATTTATTGTTTACATGTGTATATCTGCATAATAAACACGAGGACTGTAAATAGTACAATATAAGAGTAAAAAGAGACAAACAAGGAGAAAATAAAAGATAGACATTGATGATAAATGACTTATGACTTTCTATATAGATTTTTATCTATGCATCAATTAGAAGAAACAGAATAAAACTACCTTTTGTATTTATTTATTTTGTTGATAATGTCTCTGAACATATATCACACACCAATAGAAGATATACCTTTTTTCTTACTCTTCTATAACTATTCAATGTGTGTGAGACATCCTTGTCATCGAGCAAGAATCACGGATAAATTATCTATGTAATGATAAATGACTGACGTTAGCTAGTGATGTTTGTAAGATAAAACAAAGCGGTATACATAAAATAGAGTGAACATATAGACTTCGTTACGCTTGATTCTATATCTTTAATAAATGAAGGTTATCTTATTTGAAGGTTGAATTATTAATCATTTGAATATATATATATATATATATGAGAATAAGTATATAATCATTGGCATAGTTAGTATATAAATAGACTCATTCTTTTTTCTAAATATTTCAAGTTTCAGTAGAAAAAAAATAAGAATGAATCTATCAGATCATACTATCTATTCCGCAACTCAATCATTACTTATCAATGCCCATTGTTCAACATTACGACGTAAAGCAAAAAATATTGATACACAAGAATTAGCAGCGATGTTAGATGATGTTGTTCGTGAATTGAAATCTACAGTATCACGTTCTGCAATATATTTTCACTGTTTCAATGAAATAGTTCTTGCATTAAATTCAGCTTTACCAGCATCATTAATTCCACTTTATTCACATTACTTTTTCGTTCTTCTACGAAATACAATACAAGTTCTTCTACAAGAATTATATACAAGACATGAATTAAATCAATTAGCAACATATGCACTTCGAAATTGTATTCTACTTCTTGAACATATAGTTTCACAAACAAATGATGTCACGAAAATTTTACATTGGATAACTGAATTAACATTTATTAATTCATTAGCAAATTGTTTAAATCAAATAGAACATATATTGAAAGCTAAGGATAGTAAACTTTATATACGACAAATAGCACGTTTATTAAATATATTTAATAGCATACAAGAACGTTTACCATTAAATTTACATCAGAATTTATTTCTTCCATTACTTCAACCAGTAATTAAATGCTTAACATCATCTACTTATATACAAATATTTAAAGATTTGAGACCAAATTCAACAAATTTAACATCATCTCAAAAATTATTTCTTGTTGAATGTCCTCAATTTCTTACAATTTATAATGGTAAATAAAATTTTATACTTGTAATAGTATATGAAAAACTTCTTTTGTTTTATATCAGGTCCACAGATAGAAGATACTATTGAAAAAATTTTAGAAATAATGCTACCACGTTATGTATTCATAATTGATTTGCATATAAAAACTATTAAATATTGGCATCATTCAGTAAAACATGCGATGTATAATCTTCTCACAGTTCTGGTCTATGCTGAAAGTTATTTTACATTGTATTTAAGTAATGAATCACTTCAAACATTTATTAATCATCTTTTACGTTTGATAAGTGAATCTGAATTAATTAGAAATATAAAACAAGTCCCGAATAATCCTGAAACATTATTAATTGATGCAGCACTTCAAGTTTTTAG